AGCAGAAAAAATGAGTAATTCATGTAAAAAAAAAAACTTACTGAAAGTGTGTTCTTATTTATGGAATTAAAAAGTTTTTTAATTGTGACTAATGTTTTTGCTTAGTGTGCATTACCTCAATACTGTGTTACATTTATGATTTAAGATATTCTGCCAATGACGGAGAAAATTATTAAAAAATACAATTCAAATTATTTACTTTTAGGCTTGGAAATGGAAAGAGAGAAGTAAAAGATCATGCACTCAATGTGAAGTTGCCACAGGATCTGAATGTGACGGGAAGTAAGACAGATATGGATGTAGACAGAATAATTGGCGTGGCCTGTGAAAGCAAACACTCCTTCATATGGACTCAGAACAGACGGGCCTACGGTTTTGGGAACAACTTCTACGTCCAGCTTGGTTATGACTTCCAGAAGGCTGACTTTAAAGAGCATCAGATACAACTTTACAATGTCTTTACATTGATAAGTAAATCAAACATATGTACCAGATATATGCTAAGTATGTAATGTGTACTCCTGCCACCCAGAAAAACTATAATAACTGAATGAAAACATTTTCACATCATTTCATTAAAACAGTGGTTTCACTGTATTGATGAAGAGCAGAATAATCGAACAGAGATACGTTTTATTGCTATATTTAGGGTATTTTTTAAGTGTGACTGTTTAAGGTAATGAAAAATACTGTAGTCAGGTCTAATTATACTTTTAAAATGTATACTAGCTCTCAGTTACAATATGGCTCCAGAAAGATCAGAGGAGAGATTCAACTCCCATCTCATCTGATACATTCTTTGCCAAGAAAGGTATTCTTATAGTCATTTTGACAGATTATTCTGGTGTCTTTGGAAAATTTTAGTGTCAGTTGTTCTTTGGGCAAATAAATAAAGTATACATGAATAGAGGAATGTCATATTTACTCATGCTGAGTCTTGCAAGTGATACGTTCAAGTTGCATTGGTCTTGCAATAACATTTTGAGCATTCTAAAACCAAATCATTGTGTTATTTGTTAAACTTTCTGCTGATTGTTTTTATTTACCTCAAACACAGCACCACACCAGTGCGGTATGCGCTTTCACAGATTTCATTGGTCTATTGGGTAAAATCTGTTTAGCATGATAACCTTCTATTTTTATGAGCACATTTAATGAGAATAATCTAAAAATGACATCATTGATTCAGGGCCTGTGTGTAAATTTTATCTTTCTGTCTCCTGTCTTTTCTATACAAGTATCAGGGCATTTTATCCAGACAAACCCAAAGGTAAGTGCTGGTGAATTGAGATTGCTCCTTATGTAAAGTGTTCCTCTTGCATTGTAGCTTATTTTTTGCCTACTCATAGGATTTGATTGAGTCCCTCTGTCCCTCTTTTACCCAGTGAAGCCCATCACACCCTCTTCCTTCTCATGCAAAATAAGCCCATTTACTGCAGTGTGACAGTGTCTGGGTGAATGATTGCCACTCAGCACTTGATATATGGATATGTGCCTGTATGCACATGTATAGTGGATATATTACATCTCCGACAGATTTCCCCAGTCTTTTTCACTTACATTAGTGCATTGTTGTACATTACATCTTTCATTTTCTTACTCCACATTGTATAATGAATGGATTTAAACAGACACAGAATATTTCAGTGTACTTCCTCTCTCTTTAGCCCTGAATATAGTTATCTTCTCCCATTAGTTATTTCTGTGCTGAAGTCAGTATAGAGAAGCTAAACACTTAGATAAAGAAAAAAAAGCATGTTAACAAAGTCTGGATGGAAGAAAGAAAGACAGCAGATTTATTAGGTTCATTTCTGTTTTTTTACTAGCTCATAGAAAATGTTTGTTTAATTACCAAAATACCGTTTCAGTGTTATGTTATCAGTTCTTCCACTGGCCTTTTTCCAGTATTTGCATAATACATTTATAGATAGAAATCCCTGAAGGGAGACCTGGAGTTCATGAGAGACTGTTCTCATGCGAAGTGGGAAGGGGTTGGCAGAAGATAGCTGGCCACCTGGCAGCAACCTGGAGGCCCAGGGGCCAAAGCCCTTACCTGTTTCCTCCGATAAAGGCCATCAGTGTCTGCATGACTGCACCTAGCCTTCATCTTTTACTTCAGAAGCAACTGATACTGAAGCACAGCAGCAGCATCGGCAGAAAATAGGACCTGTTGGTATGTGTGTCTCAGACAACCTTTTCATTTTTTAGCCAGGTGGAGGCCCAAACCTTGACCTCCAACCACCCACCTACAACTTCTTTTATCTCAACTGCCTCCTCACATGTGTATGTGTTTCTTTTTTTTCGTTGGGTCCAGACAAGCTGCGCCACCTTTAGTCATCCCGCAGACTGTGTACTATGATACTGGCTTTTGTTATAAAGAATCTGCTGGTTGGAGCTGCCATCTTTACCCTTGAGGCTTCGTTTCTCCTTACCCATCTGAAATTGAGTGGTAGCAGACAGCTGAGATGTGAGAAACACTATATTCTCTTCTTTACTGGCCCTTTACTGGAAAAGTGTTGGGAATTCGTTGCACACCTGCAAGCCCTTTGTTCAGGCCCACCAAGGCATTTCACCTGGAACAGACAAGGTCAGACAGGCCACCTATTTAATGGTTTGATTGACATTATTTTAATGTCGCTCCATGGGGTCCTGTGTCTGGATGGATATGAAAGTTAATCTTCTTCTTTTGGCCTTCATTTCTCTTTGGTCTGTCTCTCTCCCCTTCACGAGGACAATGACATTGCCATTTTTCTCAGTGCTTTTGATGGATGTGTTTATCAGACAGTGTCTCTCCAGTTCTTCGTGTGCTGCCCCGCACAGATGTTGTCACCAGTGTTTGTTTTTCAACAAGAATTAAAACCATACAAACACTGTAGCTGACTCTCAAATTAGGTTAAAGCCTCCTGGCCGAAGATGCACCCCCTGTTGTCTACTTTACTTTGCTAGCAGCTAAAAAGTGACTTTGGAAGCATGAAAACAAACTTAGTTCTGAAGTATGACACGTGTGCAGTTTGAGCTTGGCATGGCATCTGTGTTCAGCCTGGCTGAGCACAACTTGTTTGAATGTCATATTTATCCCCGTGTTTTGTCAGAAAATTAACTTCCTGCGAGTTTGCAGCAGAGCGGAGCATATGGCCGTGGCTCTCTGGAGATCACAGCCTAGCGGAGCAGGAGCTCGCCATTGCTGCTGCCCTGCTCTGGCGGCAGATGCTCCAGGCTTCTTCGCGATTAAGTGGAGATCATCACTGTTTTCTTTGAGCACCGCTGTGCCTTGTACTCTGAAGTGTTTCGTTAATCACTGACTGCCTTCCTGCTCTTTCTACATGAGCTGCTATGAGACTGGATATCCTCCTTTCTCCACTCTGCTTCCCCAACCAGCAAAGATCCACTCTACTGAATTTTAGCAGTCAACCATTTTGCTGGAAAGCAGAAGTTCATTTTAACCCTGCTCGCTACTCTACATTTAGAAACATAAATTAATCTTCCATGGGCAATAACAGGCATATGCTGGTGTAGTTACTTGAAGCTACACTGCCCTTTGGTTGAAAAAAAATGTTGGTTAAGTGCTGTTAACCACAATACAATTGTTTTTACGTTGTGGCATTGGCTGATGACTCTGCTCTGCACATAGACAGAGTAGAGTAATATCTTTGTAGCTAGATATTACTTTCCCAGTAAAATGTATATCATGAGGTGTGACTATTTTTGTCTTGACAGATTTACAAAATAGGAAAGAAAAATACTTTTTCTGCAACTTTACTAACTTACTAACTTTACTAACTCTGTTTAAGGCACATCTTACAGGGGGCGCTAACACTTTGTAATAGCAATTTATGAATGGAGCAAGATGCCATTTCTGACCCTCTTTTGCTGTTCACTCTTATGGTAAACCATGTTTGGCCTGGAAAATGTTGTAAATGCTTCTTTCTGTGTCGACCGACTATTTTCTTTAGTCTTTCTATTCGAGTTTTTCCCCAGTTGTCTATGGATGCTGCCACGTTTTTCAGTCCAGGCCTCTGAGGGCAGCAGAGGCTGTTCAGCACTGTTCATAGTCTTTTTATAGGGTTGACTCAGTTCCCGTTGTTCAAATTATACAGTTGTCAAACATAAATCAATTTCTTTGTGTGTGTGTATGAAGCTAAATAATGAGCAAATTCAATCTGAGAGCAGGTATAATTTAAGCTGTTTCTCCACATACAGCACAGTAGAGGTGTAGACCTGCACAAGCAAACATCTATTGGTTTTGTTAAATGCTGACACGCTTTAACCCTGATTGATCTTCATCTCCGACACAAATAATAATGTGATTAGAGGATTTTTCCTTTGCTTCTCTCTTTACAGAATTTGAAAATAACATTAGGATTCTTCTTTTATGCTAATCGCCTTGGTTGGAAGTGTACCCCTGTGCACCAATAGGCCTCAGTAATACCTCCTTTCTGCTATAAAAAAAAAAAGAAAAATCAAAATAACCTATTTGCAGTACACCCACTCACACATTGCTTAGCCCTGTAACACTGTTATTCTGCATCCGTCAAAGCCTGGCTTGCTTGTCCCAGTACAGCGATCATTTCCCCACAATAGCAGGATGGCATTACTGTTGCTGTTGAAAGCATTTGCATAGCAAAGCAATAATATGCACCTTTTCAGGGAAAAAGACAGAACTGATTCTGTTCATCGCAGGTTGGATTTCCTGGATAAAGCAGTGCGAAATGATTTCCCTTAGTGTATTTTACACCACAACACAAACACATTTTCCTCATCCATATCATTAGCATGTTAAAGCCCCATTCCCAGAAAAAAAAGTTACAGTATTTTATTATATTGTCATATGTCTGTATGAATTCATGAAAAAATAATCTAGTGGGAATTCACCCTTTTTGCGCTTATATTGTCTGACAAGCTTCATTTGCCTTAATATTTATCCATCCATCCATTTTCATCTGCTTATCTGTTACCGGGTCACTGGGGCAGCAGTCTTTATGACTGCCACCCAAATCACATTGCACCGTACCAACCCCCATTTGGCAGGTGGTGAGTCCACTGGAAGGTACCAACTGCCCTAACCGGGATTCGATCTTGCCCAGGAGGTGAACCCTGGGGTTCCACACTAATGACAGAGACATTGACTCTGGGCCAAAGCACCACACCTTAATATTTATGAAAATACATTACAGGCATACATTATGGAAATACAGAGTTTGTCATATGTGTCATTAATCCATTGAATACATTTACAATATATGTATGATGTGTGTGTGTTATATGTATGTATGTTCTCCTTTAGCGTTGCTAAATTGTCTTATTAAGGTCCGTGTTTAACAAGTTCCTACACAGTTGATGATGATGACTGTTTCCATACAACTTTTAAAACAATTAATTTCTGTACTTACATTTACATTTTAACATCTTGTGATTTATTTTCTGATGACTTCGAAAGCAACCAATTCTTGGATGTTTTAGGATGATGTTTTTGTTTTTTGTTCTTCTCCTAATTGGAATAGAATGAGATCACTGTGTGTTTGTAATGTCTGGACTGGAATATTGTTGTTTAAGAAAATAAACCCTTGATTGTGTGATCTCTGCTGAGGAACCTAAATGTATTCATCACTGTACAAATTGCTGTTGTGCATTTGGCAAAATACAGCTAATTTTTAAATGAGGAAATTCCTTGTCAGGAGCAGCCAAGGGAGAAGGTGTCAGTTTGATACCACAAGTACACTAACGGCTATGCAGGAGCATAAGCGTTTGCTGCGCTTCGGTGACGGTGTGCATGATTTTAACACTGACCACCAGTGATTCCAGCCCCGTAATCCTCGTCTGAAATGCCTCCTGAGATGCAAACGCACAGACGGCTCCACCCCCACGTTTCAACTGGACTGAAACCAAGAGACAGTAAAGTCACTCTTGAGTTTATACAGCACTTACAGCCTAGTGTAACACTGCAGGTAAGAGTTATACACTGCGGACAAGTGTGTGTGTAAGTTGAGGCCTAAACTTGTGTACTAAACTCCCCTTGGACATCTTAAAGGACACTTGTTCTTCACTCAGACCCTGTGTTGCACTAAAAAGGGAGAGGAAACAGATGGAGTTAGCCCAAGTTGTGTAGAAAATGACTGACTTGCACCTCTGGAGATCTGTGTCTGAACTGAGACAACGCCTCTCTGAAGCCCTTACCCTTCTCGTTGACTTGTCTAGAATGATTGTGTTAAAACTGTTCAATATGATAACTGAACCCTGGAAACGACCACGGCTATCTTCTAGGTGGCTTGATTCTCAATTTTGTAACAGCAGAAACTATGAAAAGTTTTATTTTAGTACATGAATTATTCTAGTGACAGAAAAGAGAGAGAATATGTTGCTTGTGACCTTGTGTTTAAATCACAAGCCCCAGAGTTTTCTAATATGCCCCTGGTGTACGTAATGCTAAAAGCACTTTTATGGCACATCAATAATTCTGTACGTTTCCTCCCGGAGAAGTAATTCTGGTAATAGGATTTTGTCAATGTGATTTGAATAATGATCTCAAAACATCCCATTTTAGGCTACTTAACTAAATAGAATATTACTGATTGCAACACTTATTCATGGTTGGGTTTTGGGTAACCTTTTCTGTTTCTTGCCAACAGCCAATTTCTTCTCAATTAAAGCATGGTATTAGCACTCCATGGGGTATAAACAAAAAATAACCATACACAGCTGAATATCATGGCTTGATTATGAACTTAGGAGTGGATGTGCAGATGGATCCAGCCTCTGTACACCTATTAGAGTGCTAGTTGTTTTTGTTTTTCTGCATGTGCATGTGTGTCATTGGGAGAGAAAATTGCTGCCTACATACGTGTGTGTGTGTGTGTGGGGGGTGTTCTTTTAAATCGCTTTGGCTGCACGACAAGCTGCAAGTAATAAGCTTTATCCTGTTAAAACCTCTGGAATGGGAGGGCACAACAAACAGAGAAAAGTCACAGGTAGAGCAGGATGAAAAAGTATATCATTACATTCAGCAGCAGTCAGTGCTGATGCCAGTTGGCCAAAGTTAGTAGGAAGCTGTCCTAGTAAATGGCAGCAGCTGCTCGCAGTTCGAGAGAGCATGTCCCAGTCAGAGGAGAAAAGCGATGGCATCTACATTAATACTACCTTAATGGCCCATCTGGTGCTCCGTAGGGTCCCTGGCTGCGCTGCCGACTCATAGGCGTTTGACAGGCAGTCTCCAGTGCACCAGACTCGCATGGCATGCCAAATGGCGGGGAGACACCTCTGTGGCGCACAGATCTGTCAAACTCTGTCTGACGCTGTAGTCACACAGGCAAGTGAAGTTAAGGCAAGTTTTCACACGTGGTTGGTTCTTGACATGGAGTTGAAGGAAGGAGGAGGAAAGAGAGGAGAAGGGGCCAGCAAGAGAATGACTGGCTCATCTATCTGTCTCCACTGCACCCTCCCAAAATGGGAACAGAAACATACACACACTCTCTCACACACACACAGTAACTAGACTAGATGCTAAATTGCCGTGACAAGATTAAACCTCAATGAGAAATCCAGGTTAGGATTAGCCAGTAGTGCCTTCACGCTGCAGTGATGGCATATAGAGATAACAAATATTATTTTCACTGCGTGTCAGAGCCTTTCTCCCTCTGTAAACAAATACTGGAACACATTGTTTCACTGGTTGAAATGGTGGAAGGTCTTATCAAAACACCACAGGGGTTTCTGGCAGTAATTGGCATAATTTGTTGATGGCGTAGACTACAGTCCATGATGGGACTCAGTGATGCACTTCATTTAAACTAACTGATTATAATTTTATGTCTCTAGATACTGTTCCAACAGCACTTAAATGCATCATGATACGCCGTAGTTGTGTTTGTTTAAATATTTTTAAGGGCATATTACCTAAAGCTGGTTTGATGATTGATAACTAATTTTTGTCAGTCATGGAATCCTGAAGTGTTGTGACCACTATTATTCAAAGGTTTCTTTTATATTTATTTGTGCTGTATTTAGCAGCTAGAGTTAAAATTCTTGTTGTTACTAACGGGTAAAAGGGTATCATTGACCAAGATCACTGTTATCCATCTCACCCAGTTTGAATTATTACAGCATTATTGTGCTTTACTATGCACTTTATGATAACGAATTCTGGAATTTGAAGCCCAGTCTTTAAGTTGCTAGAATACGTCTTTACAGTATGTCTGTATTCCAAGTCTTTTTAAAACCTGTAAAGACAGACAACTGTGAAGTGTGTCCGCAGCCTTGGACAGTAGAACTGCTGTCCAGTAGATTTTAATCTTTGTGTGCCTCCTGTCCTATTTGGCCATAAGTTCACTGGTGGGTTCCAAGATCCTTCTAACTTGTCTCTGTAGTATATGACAGTAATATATGTAGTATTTTAAATGTTGGGCATTTTGAAGGTCTTAGAAGTTCCACTGTCGTTGTTATCACCCTACTTTATGCTAATCCTATCTCCCAAAGAAAGACAATTTATTTTACTCAAGTAACAGTTCAGGAGCTCAAATCTCTAGAGCTCGGCCTCTCAATCAGGTCTTGCTGAATTGCACTGTAGAGGTTCAGTTTTTATTCCTCGCAGCACCCACTGTCACTGATCACAGTCCCAGAAGAACAGATCTGACACTGCTGCTGAGAAATTGTTTTTTTTTCTTCCCTGAGTAAACACCGCACAAAAATGCAGAGTACTTTATATTGTGCAGAAGAGTACTTTAAAACATTTGCTAGCCTTCGCTCTCCCATACTTTTCTTAAGGACATTTTGAGAGATAGCAGCATTTCAAAAAAGGTTCTTTAGAAAATGCATTTCAAATCCAGTAGGTAGCCCCAGAGGACACCTCAGGGATAAACCTAGGAAATAAAGGAAGACAGAGAGGAGGGAAAAAAGTGAAATTGGAAAGAAGACACAGCCGTGACTAAAACATAAAAAAATATATAGAGAAAAAAATGTCTCCTCTTAACCTGTCGACGTTGGTGTGGAGAAATTGCTTCGGTCCATATCAGTTTTCAATTTCTGAACATTCTGCTGTGTTTATAATGAAAAGACAGGACCCACATATGTTTCTTATCCTGGCAGTCTTACATACACTTAGAGCTGTGCAGGTGTTTTGTAAATGACTAAAGACACATTCAGAAAGGTTTTTACTTTAGTCTTGTTCCTTCTCTGATGTCGCTCCCTCTAAAGTAAATCAGTGCATGGATGGATTTCTCTGATTTAAAGAACAAAAAAGATTAACCAACAACAAAACAAACAAAAAAAAAAAAAAAAAAGAAAGAAAAAAGAAAATCAGTGAAAGAAGTTCAGCTGGACACATCAGCCAGGGCTCTGAAGCAAGAAGATGAACAGAGATGAGAAGAAAGGTGGTAAAAAAGAAAGGTATGAGCACAAAAAAAAGAAAAAAAAAAAGACTTAATCTTAAACTCAAAACCCAGATATTTTACAGACACATAGACACATACATTATAAAGTTAATGTTTAAATAGGCAAATCATAAATATTCAAGACATTTTTTCACTTTTACAGCTACATTTTCTTTCTTTGGTTAATACTACATCCTTACTTGAACAACTATTTAAGGTTTTTACTCTTCTGCTTTAATGCACTTAATTACATATTTGTCTACATTTAGTGTGTTACAATCTTAAAAGGCTAAATCTTATTCCCGATATTTTTAATGAAACATATGTTTTAAAAATGTACCGGAAATAGAAATATATATTATATATATATATATAGCAATATTCCCTTGTGTTAACTCCATCTCTGCTGTCTGCTGTGAAACCACTAGAGGGAGCTTATATGATGCTGTGAAATGTGCTTCACAGTACAGTCTTTTTCATAAAGATGCCCTTTTATTCTCCCCAATTCAAATTTTTCTCACTGTGTCCTTTAAACGATCAGGTGTCCTGGAGCATCGTGATCTTGACGATCCTGAGGTCAAAACCTCTGACGAGACCATGACACAAACTTGTATCAGAAGTGTGTTATTCTTCAAAGG